TCTTGTATACAGGAACCAAGGAACTTATTCAGGAATGGTCATCTTGTGGACGGACCAAGGAACGTATTCAGCGGACTGCACGCATCCTTCAAAAGGGGCTGGAAACCGCACACCCAAGTGCCAAGAAAGCAGGAACTAGAAGGGCTGAGCCAGAGCGACACGAGATACTTATGCCAGAAGTAGGCATGACGTCATCTCACGGCAACCAATCAGCTATCGGCACGATTCGGCTTTCCATATGATGTTACATCACATTTCGTTTTTGCATCTTAATTAGGTTGAAACAGTCCGTTCTCAACACAAACAGTGGCAGTAAGAAAAGAGTAGAAGTAAACTATCTTACATTAAAATAAGAACTAAGCTAATAAACATTTCAAGGAGGAGAGATGATGCAGTAAAAGGTTTACTATAAGTCGTATTTTTTCCAACAAATGCCCCCACATCATCATCTCCAACCTGAAATAAAACTGAACGCCAGATCTTTACAAATTCAAAACAAGAATTAATAAATATCACAATTTCATTCAATTCAGAAATTTTTAAGAAAGAAAGTTTTCCCTTGGGAACATCTTATCCTATGATCAAAATTTTACCATAACAAGAAGTCCAACATGTTACAAAACAATACAAAGACATATGTATGATCATACACTCAATACTTTTACCCAGGGCCCTGGTCAATCATACAACATTCTACACTATACAGTTTTACATTTACCTAATTCTAATGTTTGCTTCCAAGACATTGAAAATTTGAATGTTCAGCACAATTCGTAGAACTGCTGAAATGGGACATATTTGATCTTGATACTATGATGCAATATGCATTGAAGGAGAATGTTGAACCCACGAGAACACGCACACATTTTCGAGCACGAGAACTCGCACCGGGTATCTCGTACACTAGCTCACTTGTGCTATTGAAATATCAATTAATACTGTTTATAAGCAAACCTTACGTAATTAAATATTGCAAAGTTAAAGAATTTTAGTGAATTGAATTATGCATACGTATATGGTTAAAGACAATTTTGACAAACCACGTACTGATGTTCAACAGACTTATTTCACATTTTTGGCACATAAATCTTGGATTTTTCTATCCTTATTACATGGACAAAATGCACATCGTTTATAATTTGCTTTGAGATTTTATACAGGCGGTTCACTATTATCGATTTCCAGTTCCTTAGAAGTTTCAGGCTTACTGTTTCTGTATTGTTTTGAAAGAACGAGTTCCAGTGTTTTCAAAAAGAAACGTCTGCTTCTGAACTGTGTGGTAGGATGTTTCGTGGACATCAACAAATCCTGACATTAATAACAGCTTCATTCAACTTGTAAAATAAAATAACCATTAACCAAGTGATTTTAAATCCTTGCTGTAGTGTATGCTGGAGCCATTTCGTTGACGTCCACAGCTCCTTTCATAAGATTATAAAGCGTGATGATATTTGTTTTTTGTTTCAATTCCATGGTGGTTTTGTCTATTTTATCATCAGTATGAATTACGGATAACATAACTACATTATTGTTGTTTTTTGCAGAATACGAAACAATTGTCTTTTCTTTTGAAATCCAAAGACTGAAGAGTACAGTATTTTTTTTTTTTTTTTCCAAAAAAATCCAGCCGGTATTTCTCTTTTATTTTGTCTAAGTGTGCGTCCAGAATTGAAAAGCTGTGTCATCAACTGCATCACAATGGATTTCGAGCTACAGTTTATTTTGAATGGTCCATCGAGTTGTTGACCGCCATAAATCTCCATATTCCAGGTATAAAATACTCTAGAATCTACTAGTGAAAATAGCTTGATGCTATACTTAGGCTTTTTGGGCACATCTACTGCCTGAATCCACACCACAGAAAATATTCGATGCATCTACGGAAGAAGCGACATCTCTTGAATAAGCTGTATTACCTGGAAGCTTGCTAATTATATTCCTTGAAAGCTTCCTAACATTTAGCCAGTATTTTTTCTTCTGCCATTTTGTAACTTTATCTTTTCCAATATAAAAATCGATTGCTGACAGTGAACTTTCATCAGATATATGTTCATCATCACTAGAAACAGTCTCGATAAGGTGTTGAAAATATTTATTTTCTTCGTCATAATCAAATAGTGCGTCATAATTCACTAAGCTGACAGAAAAAAGGAAAGATCTGACTGACGCAAAGACTAGCACGGGTATGACATACCCCTGACACCTGTATCTCAAAATCTATTTTTTAGAGCTGAACTAGTTTTTCCCCTGCTGAAAGAATGTAACCTTGAATACAGCTACACGAAATTCTGGCGTAATCTGATAAGAAGAAAGTAACAAAAACATTGAATGAAAATGGATCAGGCATGTCATACCCTGTGCGAGTTCTCGCAGCTTAAGCACATGTCTTATTCAAAACACATGCGTACCCTGAATTTGGGAATTTAAAAATTTTGTAAATATATTCCAAAATAAAAGTTGTTGACAAATAACACTATTGATTTTTGATTCTTCTTACTTAGTAGAAATAGTCTTTAGTCAAGTCATTAACTTACTGTAGAAAAGAAGAAATGGTTTGAATATTTTTGGTTGCTTGGTTGGTTTGGTTTATTGGATTATGGCAAAAAGCTCAAGGGCTATCTCCCTAGGGAAAGGAATGCTTTCGTGGAGGACATCTTAAGGGAAACTTGCTCGTATACACATGGGAAAAACCATGAAAACACCCATGCAGCCACCCCAGACTGAAATGGTAGTGTTCAGGGACTTTACTACTTCCCCGCTTTTGGGCTGAATATTTTTTAATGAAGGGATTTAAAGGAAGCAATTTTGTGGCAAATATAAAAAAAAGGTATCAATACATTTAGTTCAGTTATCACATTAAATAAAATTGAAATTTTATGCAATTAGACTCTGCAGTTTTGTTTATATTTGTAAAATAAAAATTAATAGAAAAAATAATTCAATGTAAATCTAATAAACCATTCTTTTAATCTTTGTTCATATTTTTATATAGACTAATTATTGTCTTTAAGTTATTTATGTGCAATTATTTGTATTTTGATTATGTTGTATGCTGCATATTATAGAGAAAAATGTAAGGGGGTTGATGAAGAAAACCTTTCTATAAAAAGGGATCAGTACAAGGCTGGGAATCCATGCTTTAAGCTTTAGGCTTTGTCATTTTACAATGTTATGTTGTTTGGTTTTTACGGCACTATATTTTTGTGATATTAATGATGCTTGTACTTTATTTCAAAAGAAAAAAGTGGAGTTCTGTAATCAAAATAGTAATACTCGGCCATGCCTAGCAAACTGTTTTGCGTGTGACCTCAGGAATTCTTTGACTGCCTACCCGATATCATTAGGATTTTGAAACCTTGTCCAGAAAACATTGTTCTTATAGTAAAGAAGATGACAATACATTAAAGACAGGTTTGATGTGTATGGTAGATGAGGGAGTAGGAGTGCTTTGTAATCCAACTCGAGTAATATTAACTGAATTTTGTATGACACATCAAGGCGAGTGTTGTTATGCAGTACATAGACAATGAGTACTAGCTGCTTGAGGTGAAATTCTTGGCTCATATCATGAAATGTTACACAATAACATTCTGAATTGATTGTTGTACCTTATATGAGGAAGACATGGTGAATGATACTATTTGCATGCCACTACATAAACTTTTGATTATGACAGAGTGACTCTAGTAAGCGCACGGATTGCTCATGCATATCCAGTCACTGAACGGATCTGCAACTGTAGCAAAACATATTTCATAGCTGATAATGATTTGATGCATAATCCTTTCTCTGCTGTTTCTGAAGAAGGAAATCTGTCTGATATGCCTTGCTTGTAGGATGGAGATCATGTGGTTCTCAGGTGTCCAACTCCTTCACTTTACTTGCAACCAGATACTGAATTGTAGTGGAATTATAAATATTAAACTTCTCGGCTATCATTCAGGCACTTTGTCAGATATCAGTTTTCACACTATTTTAGAAGATCAGCTGAAAAGATTGTAATTCATGTCCATGTGGTGCATCACATGAATATCTGTGTGAACAGACTGCCTTATAATAGTGTATTCATGCTGGGTTAATATTGTTTGCTGCAGACCAAGAAGAATGACCTAGTGAACTCAAAAATACATCTTGATCAGTTATGCAAAATCCACGCCTCACTTTGATTGTTCATTGCAACAGAGTACTACAAATCACAACAAATGGACCAATGCAACATATCAATCACATGCATGATGTCAGCAGTTACTTCCTTCATTCCTTTGGCAGTTACTACCAGCATTACTTGAAATAGCTATTTCAAATTCAAAAACCCAATAGTTTAAAAAAAAAAAGCATAAGAGAAGTCTCAAGCTGTAAGTGGAAATGACAGTCAGGAAACAGAAAATCACTTCGAAGAAGAGAAAGCTCTTAAAAGTGCAATGAGACATATCGAACAATTCATCTGCCGTCTGACATTATTTTCGTAAAATTATTATGTAATTTGCTTCATATCTAATTTTTTTTAAATAACTGGTTTTTTAACTAAATATATAAATACATAGTAATATGTATAGAGAGCATATAGTTGTATTTTTTAAATCTGATATACAGCCTATGAATGCTCTTTTGTTTGAACCAGCCATTTGTTTATCTGACCTAAGCTGCAGCCTCAAAGAGGTTTTGTTAATCAGGAGAGTTCACTGTGTTTTCCTTTTTGCTGTTAAATTTGTGTTTTCATGTCACTTCCATTCCGTTACTACACTTAAATACTATTCTATCTGCAGTTTCTGTCTAAGATATTAGACAGCTGTTTAAGATATTAGCATTTATATACATAAATAATGTATTTTTTACTTCAGCTATATTACATGTTCAGTGTAAAGATTTTTGTTTCATATGGAAAGTAGTTAAAATACAAATAAATTGTTCCTAATTAGTTCTCCCTCCTAGTGACATAATTACTGTAACACTAATCATGTAATATATACTTTTAAGTGACATTTTACTGTTTCTTCCAGGTATGAAAGCAGAATGAAATTAACTGAAGCAAGAATGAAAGAACTTGGTTTAATAACAAACAGGGTACCTTTTGCTTTAGATGAGTGGGAAATACCTCGTGATCATATTGTTATCAATCGCAAACTTGGTGAAGGTGCTTTTGGAACTGTATTTGGAGGAGAAGCATATGTTCCAAATGAAGGTTGGAAAGCAGTAGCTGTGAAAACTCTAAAAACTGGAGCAAAAGTTGAAGAAAAGGTTATCCATTAAAATCTATTTCTTTTATTATATTGTAAATTTTCAAAGTTGTAGTAAACGTATATGGGAGATCAGCTTGATCAAAATACAGTATGAGTATATATGCAATGAAACACTTGTAAAATGATCACCCATGACTGCAGATGTTTTGTTTTTATGTTGGTAATCTTGCAGAACATGATTATCAGAGAAATACTTGCTACTGTCACAGAGAGTCGCCACCAGGATGCCTATTCTACGATGACTAAAAACGTCTGAAACTTGAGCGAACAATATTGACTCAAGAAAACCGGTATGGACAGCCCAAAGAACATCAATAAATGTTCTTTGGGACAGCCATCACAACTTATTGGAGAAAGCCATTCTGCAGTTCTTGGGTGTAGGGCAGGCGGGTACATTTGACTTAAAGTGGACAAGGCTTTAAGGAGCTTTAGACCAATTACAGTACAGACGAGTGACGAAATTTATAGTGCGCCCTGACTAAAGTTCTGGAATATTCTCCTATTATTTCACTAACTCGCACTCTGTATTTGTAGTTCGAAAAAATTGGCACAAAACAGTATTATGACCAACACACAGCAGAATACGCTGCTGTGTGATGTGAAGGAAAATCTTGTTTTTTAAGGGGAAAGTTAACGCAGGAATTTAGGGCTAAGAAATAGAGTTGTGGAATACCATGAAAGCAACGGTAAATAGATAAGAGTAAATGAATTAAGCTTACTTCAAATCTTTTTAGAAATAAATCATTTAATCATTTAAATTTATAATATGATTAATTTGCATTACAATCTAATAGCAAACTAAGGTTTTTTTTATTTATTTATTTTTTCCATTCTTACATTAAAACTGCATTTTCATGCAATTTATTTTACAGTTAAAATTAGAAAAATATTTCTTTAAGTAAGAAATTAGAAATAAAATATTTCTTTCCTAATGTTCCTTCCTTTTTTATTTTTTGTTTCTATGAAAATTATTTCTTTCAGAAAAAGAAATAAAATTCATTCGTTATTACAGTATGGCCGATTGCTGCTGCATTCAGCTATCACTCATGCATCAAAATGTTTTATTTTAAATCATTTATTCTATAATTAGCATGAAAGAAAATAATTTTTCAATTTAAAAATATATAACCAGAATTATACAATCTATTCTGTATGTGTGATTAATTCGTATTGCAATTTTTCTCATGCATATATTAGTAATACTTTTTTTAAAAGTTACATTGCTGTTGCTTTAATTTCTTGTATAACTGTTATTTCTTATAAGAGCTGCTTATTTTAGATATTCTTCGTTCTCAAAAGATTTTATTCTGTGAAAATAATTAAGATATCTGACCACGTCTGGAGCACTTCTTTTCAAAAAAGCAGTATAATATAAACACATTTTCTCATTTATTATTTATAGAGATTAATTACGGGATATCAAAATTCAATATATACTATTATCCTACAAAAAATATTAAATTTATGTGAAATTTTAAGCAAATTTTAAAACAATTTGAAACATTCTACGTAAAAAAAATATTAAAGTTATATTAAAAAAGGTCACATAATAATAAATTGCATGAGAATGACGTAGAATTTTAAGGATATCTTAAATAATAAAAAATTTCAATTTCAGAATTTTGACGTTTTTTATGAGATTTTTGAGAAATTCACGATGTTATTATTTAATCAACAGGCCACAATTTCAAAAATATTTAACATGTAAATATTCTGGCACGTCATTCCCTAGATAACTATGCAAAGATTAAATTCTAATAAAATTACACTCATGCAAAAAAAAAAAAATAAGTTTTGAAAGCCTTCAGATTTTATAGACTATATTATAGTTTTTTAACGTTTTGTGTGTAACTTTTATTTATTAAATATCATGTTTGCACTTAAACCAAAAAATTCTATTAAACAGCAAAATCACATAATTTAAAAAGAGCATATCTTTAGAATTTCTGATAGACAGTCTCGCACACTAGAGATAAAAATGTTTTTTTCCAGCTTTTTTTTCCCCTGTACAATGTTACTATTGCTCGTTTTGAAATCGTTGATCAACAAACACTCATAAATGCTTTACAGAATATGAAATAGATAATAAAACAAATTCCCAGTTCTTAATTTGGTATAGGCCTTCAGATGCCTATATTAGGGTGGAGGATTATGTTATTCAAAATTTGATGGTTCTAGGTATCGTTATTTTATCTCAGTGCGAGAAACATTCATACATTTATGCAGATTCTTCATTATTTAATTTCTTTAAATATAATACAGTGCGATAATATTTTGTGGCAACATTTTTGAAACGTGAAACGCCGCAAAATGGCAAAACAAAATTAATAGCCATTCTGAGCTAAGATCCTTTGGGCTAAAATTTATTTGTAAACTTATCACACTAGTAGTAGTACTACTACTGAAAATATATTATAAAACTATTTTATAGTTTTATTAACTATTAAATGTATAGTTTTATTATTATTTCATTTTTCTTTTACAGTAGTGTGAATTTCACGTAATAATGAATGACATTCCTTATTGTGTTTCACAGTATTGTTCGTAAGGTATTCCACTGTTATATTTTAAAATAAACTTAATTCTTGTTGTACATAAGTCGAGTAGATGCTTCTCGGATATCTATATTTTTATTAACTGAAGAAGGATTATATGCTAGATAAATACTTATTATCTTCTACATTTTTAAACTATATAATTACAATATACATCTATAATTTCAGAAAAAATATAAAATAACCTTCCTTTCAGTAGAAATTGCGTTCTTGTTTTCTGAATGTGGCTCTAAATACTCTCTCAATTCATTGCAAATTAAAATAACTATAAATTTTGGCAATCTGAAATATGCAATGAAAACATCTTCTGGCAGATCAAAAGCATCAACATATTTTCTATAAATTTGCCGCCGATTCAGAGATCTACAACTGCATTCTTCGTTTAAATAGGAAAAACTTAGGGGCAAAAACACATACAAAACCATTGTCTACTTAGAAAGTCAACTGACAAGCCTGATTGATGACTAGGCAGAATTTTTCCCCGCGCTTCTGATGACTTCCATACTCAGAGAATATGGGATGTTGGGCAGACTTGTTTTTCACTAGCAGTGACATCTGGCGGCCCACAAACTGGTGTCGACTCTCAGAGCCTAGAATAGCCATCCTGAGGTTTCACGCCTGGCGACTATTGAGATAGAAGTACTTTTAAAGATTGTAAAAGAGGTCGTTAACTAAGACTTGAGAACTATAAAAATCTAATGAAATAATTCTGGTTGAAGACAAAGAAATTTAGAAATAACTTCTAAGAACTAAGAAATAGATAACTGGACATTCTAGGTTAATTCATTGACAAATATTAAATGAGAAAATGTGTGCTCAGCAAACTCTGAATTAATTAACTGTGTATTCAATAGATTTAAAGTTTGATTCCACAGATTTATTTATCAGAAATTATATGTATTATTTAATAATGTAATAGTAAATGCTAGAGAGAAGTGCACTTTTAAAGGACTTTTGATGCTTTTTTCAAATTGTTAATTTTGCTTGTCTAAGTCATGTTTTAAACAGTGCCAGAGGTGTGAAACTTCTTTGATATATTGCACAGCATTCTTATCGTCATAATAGCTTCTTAAAAGGTTTATTTTCCTTTGTGAATTTTTCGTCTTATATATATATATGTTACCACTTTTTTCTTCATTGATATAATTCCTTTTCATGCAGCACTTTTTTGCCTGCAAAATCAATGTTACCAGTTGTGCATTCAACAACTGGAATTCTATGCTTTTAACTGTCACATGGTAGACATGAGCACAAATGATATTTTGATGTCTCTCCAACAGATACACATAGTTACAGAAAAAATACTGAAATTTTTAAATTAATTAGTCATGGTATTTTAATAAGTCAGAATATTGTTTCTTAAATGTATTTGCATCTTATACTGAACCTTGATTCTTTCCATATTTGTGAACGACACTAAAAAATATTTTAAATACAGTTTCTTGATAATGAATTATCAGTATTTAAAATCTCTGTTCATTTTAGTTTGAAAAGTGCTCTAATACAATAGTATATATGTATGGTGGAAAGTTGTAGTTCAGTTTCAGCTTCTGGTGGTTGAAGAGGATTTATGTGGAGTTTTATTACAAATATGAGCTACATTATCTCAAAAGTTTTTTCTTGAAGGCAGATATCTCTTGAACACAACTCATTAATTTAATATGTTCATTGTGCTGCTTATATTGATGTTTTTCATAATACAGAAGTTGTAAATTTAGTTTTGGGTGTTAAGAAATACTATTGACGCAGATCATTCACAACTGTAGCTGTCACTTATTATTATAAACAAAATTTAATTGCTGCAGTATTTTTGTATTCTACTACTTACGTTGCTATTCTTATATATAGCTGTTTGTGTTACTATGATATATCTGTATTTTACATATAGATATTATCTGCACATAATATACAGGTAATATTTTACTACATATGTTTTAACGTATAATGCTCACTTTTAAGCACAGTAATGAACTTCATATAGAAAACATGAAACCATTTAAAAATCGTAGACATGTTAGAAGTACACTTTAATTATAATTACAGCAAATACTTGCTTAAATTAGTTTATGTGTTTAGTTCCATGTTGGAAATTTTAAATAGATAATGTAGGTCAGAAAAGTGTTTTTAATTCATCTGATGGGTTGTACTTTTTATAATACTATTTGTGCATTTTTCTGTGTTATAAATTGTATTAAAAAACCTTTTTAGGTACAGTCAAAAGTCGTTAATCCGGATTCGTCGGGACTTCGGCGAATCCGGATTATAGATCATCAGTTTAAATCTGGTAAGATGGCATGCGGAAATTATAAAATTAAAAATATGAAACCGTAATTTATGAAATAAAGAACAATTATGATCTAAAGGGTATCAAAATTTGCAAAAAAAAGCTTAATATTTATTTGTTTACTTTATTAAACATTTCTTTCAATGTAAGTTGTTTAAG